AAAAAAAAAATCAATGCATTAAGACTTTTCCCAAACCCTCTCATAAAACTTATTTTTCCAACAGTGTAAATAAAAATATTTCAAGTCAGGTAAAAAAGAATAAAAATATTATTTTTGCCGAATAAAACATGCAAACATTAAATGCAAACAAATCTTAGAAATTATAAGATACCTATAATACAAACGTTCGTCAGTGGACCAAAACTTCTTTCCAGCATAGCGCAAGCCCAAACAAATAAAACAGAAATTCCACTTCTTGTCTTTGACAGCCAATCCACAGCAAAGTTAATGTAATTTCCAATCTCTGATAACTGTTTCAAATTGCAATATAAATGAAATTTTCGATAAATATTGCTAGACAGTAATCGAGTTGGAAAAACACTGCTTTTCCACTTGGAAGAAAATCAAATTAAAGATTTTAATTTACGGCTTACCTTGAGAAAAACATCCAGATAATTTTTTTCTTGAATGGAACTGAAAAGTGGCAAAAGAAAGAAAAACCAATCGCAATATTTTTTCTGCAAAAAATTTGCAATCTATTTCAAATCTGCAAACTCAAAAAAGCATTTCTTCTCACTCGAAATAAACCCCTTGCAATAAACATACTGAAATTAGAAGAACAGAAAGGATAATTTGCTTAACAATCGTTTAAAGATCTATAAAAATAATTTTTTTCTAAAATTTTCACTGATTTCACTAGATTATAAAAATGCACACTGAGAAATACACTGGACCACTTGATTTCGAGCTTCAGATAAAACCAATGCTTTACTAGCGCACTCTAGTACCAGTTTCAGTTTTAAACTATCACAATTCAGAACCATCCCATCTCCTTTGGCCCCAACGCTTCTCACCAATCTTTCGCAAATCGAACAATCATCTACATAAACTATTTTCTGTCTGAACTTTAAAAAGTATAAGTTTTTTCCCTGGCAACTAAAATTCCACAAAACTATGTGCTCTTAAAATTTTACTCCGCCCGTAGCAGCAATAGCCGTATCAGACAGAAAAATTTGAAGATCACAGACCAAAAGAAACAAGATTGATATCGAAAAAAATCTGGTTGAACTAAACGTATGATAAAAAGCAACAAATAATAAATGGGCAATAAATCTGTCAATAAGTGATTCTTATACTATAACTGCATTACGAATCGAAGAAAAAAGAATTTATATATATATATATATATATATATATATATAT